ATGACATGGCGCATTCCCCTGGCAAAGGAACGCTTCGCCACTCTCATCAGTGCATATGCTCCAACTCTTGATGCAGAGTACAACTTCAAAGAAGATTTCTACAGAGCTCTTGATGCCATCTTACAGAAAACCCCTGCTACGGACAGGCTCTATACTCATGGGAGATTTCAATGCTAGAGTGGGTACGGAGCACCTGGTATGGAGTAAAGTCATTGGCCAGCATGGTGTGGGGAAAATGAACCGCAACAGGCTCAGACTCCTCTCCCTCTGTGCAGAGCACCAGCTGGTCATTACTAACACCATCTTCCAGATGAAGAACAGGCTCAAGACCACCTGGCAGCACCCCCGCTCAAAACATTGGCACCTCCTTGACAACATGTCCTCACCACCCGTGTCATGCGCGGAGTTGAGTGATGGACTGTCCACCTCATGGTCAGATCCAAACTACTCATGGGCATTCAACCCCGTGGCCCGAGGACAGCTCCAAACAAGAAACTCAACTGTACAGCGCTGATCAGCATCACCACCAAAGACAACCTCCGACGGCTCCTTGATGAATCAGCTGACTGGGCAGCTTTGCGCCAGGCTATTCATAACGCAGCCTCAGAAGCGCTCGGCCAGTCAAGGAAACATCACCAGGACTGGTTTGACTGTAACTCAGCTGGGATCCAGTCACTTCTAAAAACCAAGCATGAAGCCCACAAAGCTCTCCTGCCCTGCCCTGGATCTCCCACCCATATAACCACCTTCATTGCTGCAAGAACAGCAACCCAGCGAGCCCTTCGGACTATGGAGAACACCTGGTGGATGCAAAAGGGGCAAGAAATCCAGAACCTGGCAGACTGCAATAACACTCAAGGCTTTTACAATGCCATAAAAGCATTGTACGGCACCAGGAAGTGGGCGATTGACACAGTCCGATCAGCTTACGGGTCCACACTCTTCAAGGACCAACATGAGATTCTTGCCCGTTGGGTAAACAATTTTTAGAGTCTCTTCGATCACACCAACCCTGTTTACCCACATATCCTGGATAATCTGCCAGACCTGCCACCAACCATGCACCTGGACACTCCACCACTTTACTCAGAACTTCGGCAAACTCTTGCAGGGCTGAAGAACAATAAAAGAGCTGGACCCGATGGAATCCCTGCAGAGGTTTTCAAACTCAGAGGATACATCCTCACGCGTCGTCTGCACCTCCTGATCCAAAACATCTGGGAACATTAGACCCTCCCACAGGACTGGAAGGATGCTAACATCGTGGTCATTTACAAGCACAAAGGAGACAGAGCAGTCTGAGGCAACAGCCACAGGATATCTCTCCTCTCCATCGCAGGGAAAGTCCTGGCCAAGTTCATGCTCAGCAGATTGGTTGAGCACATCTCGGAAGCTGTGCTTCCAGAAACGCAGTGTGGCTTCCGGAAGACCAGATCCACGACAGACATGGTTTTTGTCTTGAGGCAGCTGAAGAAGAAGAGCCGAGAACATCACAAAGACCTTTACGTTGCCTTCATCGACCTCAGCAAAGCTTTTGATACCATCAACCGTGAGCTGCTCTGGAAACATCTCTCCAAAATTGGGGTACCATGCAAGTTTCTCAGCATCCTACAGCAGCTGCATGACGGGATGCAAGCCAGAGTGCTCACGGGAGAACTCCAGTCAGAGTCTTTCGAGGTAAATGTTGGGGTGAAGCAAGGCTGTGTCTTGGCTCTGGTGCTCTTTAACATCCTCCTCTCTGCCATCACCTGCCTCTTCCACCGTGTCATGGGATATGAAGACGGTATCCATGTGGAATACAGGCTTGATGGAAGCCTTTTCAACATCCGTCGGCTTCAGGCCCGCACAAAGACGAAGACCCGCCAAATCTGTGAGCTTCAGTATGCTGATGACTGTGCCGTCTTAGCCCACAGCCCAGACTCTATGCAGCACGCCCTTAACACAATATCCAGTCTGTACCAATCTAAAAAACCGAAGTCATGTCCCATCTCACCCCCCCCCCCCCCCCGCCCCCACATCCCCCAGTTTTCACATAAATGGTGTTGCACTTAAAACAGTGGACTACTTCACCTACCTCAGCTCCACTTTGTCCTCATGCAGCTCCCTTGACACAGAAATACACACTCGGATAAATAAATCCTCATCTTTTGGAGGCCTAAGCAGCAGGGTTTTTGAAAACCGTAACCTGAAGGTCAGTACCAAGTTTGCTGTTTACAACGCGGTATGTCTCTCCACTCTCCTTTATGGGGCAGAGTCATGGACCCCATACCGCCAGTACATCATCACCCTAGAGGCCTTCCATATCCGCTGCCTACAAAAGGTCCTCAGCTTGTCCTGGAAAGATCGAATCCCCCATCCTCAGCAACACTGACTCAATCTGTATGGAAGCAGCTGTGGCCAAAACACATCTGCATTGGATAGGCACACCATAAGCATTCCTAAACACCGCCTGCCCCGCCAAGTCCTCTACAGTCAACTAACGGGCGCTAAGTGCTCCGCTGGAGGGCAAAAGCGGCGGACTACACCAGGGACCTCCTAAAGCGAGCGAACACCCCGCTTATGCAGCTCGAATCTCTGACACTCGACAGATCAGCCTGGCAGATTTTCAAACACACCAAACCAACTAAGACGATCCAAGAGGCGAATCAAGAGACACTAATGGCCGGCTGGTACCCCCTGGTATCTGGTTTCGAGTGTGTGGCTCAAGGATCGGACTCGACGCCCCCGAGAAGTGGCACCAGCGGCAAGGCTGCTGAACCCCACCCCATCCCTGGAGCAAGCGTCATCATCGAACACGATGGACAGCTGTGTGTACCGGTGCTGAGGGGCTCCCTCTGCAGCTGGTAGAGCTGTGTGTGTGATATAGAGAGAGATGCTGAGTGTATGTGAGGGAGAGAGAGAGATGCTGAGTGTGTGTGTGTGTGTGTGTACCTGCACTAATGGGCTCCCTCTGCAGCTGGTAGAGCTGAGTGTGTGTGTGTGTGTACCTGCACTAACGGGCTCCCTCTGCAGCTGGTAGAGCTGAGTGTGTGTGTGTGTACCTGCACTAACGGGCTCCCTCTGCAGCTGGTAGAGCTGAGTGTGTGTGTGTACCTGCACTAATGAGCTCCCTCTGCAGCTGATAGAGCTGTGTGTGTGTATGTGTGTGTGTGTGTACCTGCACTGACGGGCTCCCTCTGTAGAGAGTAGAGCTGAGTCTCCAGCCGGTTGACCTGCTGCTGTAGCGTCTCCACTGTGCGGCAGTGCTCGTCCTGCAGGAGCCGCGTCTGCTCGCGGAAGCTAATGCGCAGAGCCTCCGTCTGAGCGCTCAGCTGAGCCGCGCACTGGCCGTGCTCCGACCGCAGGGACACGCTCTCGGACTGCAGCGACAGCAGCCTGACAGAGTGATGAACAGAGAACAGGCTCAGAGACGCAGGGAGAAACACCACCATTACTGCTCGTCTGTCTCTTTAAATGCTCTTTAAGGCAGGATGGATTCTGATTGGCTGACAATGTTTTTATCGTCCATCAGCTTGAATGTAATTCCTCTGTGTCGTTAACATTATAGCTGTGGTGTTGATTATGTGATTCTTTTACATTTAGAATCATTTCTACAACTAAATATTTTATGACTGCACAATTAATATTATTATTACTTTTAAACCTCAGAAGCATTCTGTTGTGGACATTACAGGAAAGTAGGGGTGTCCCCGACTAAGGATTTTCATAGTCGAATCAGATTCGTGAAGTCCTGCCTATAGTCGACTAATAGTCGAATCATGTGTGTGGTGTTGGGGAGGGGGCGGGGCTTTAACATTTTAAAGCCGCGATGTACAGAACATCACACAAAGATATAGAAGAAAATATATAAAAACATTTTGGATCAATAAAACTAAGAAATAACATAAATAACTGCAGAAAGGCCACACTGCAGATAGGATTTGCATTTCACATGCAAATTAAATTAAATCGGCTGAATTGCCTGTACGAGCGTGCTCTAAGTAGGCCTACAGCGCAACATCGATGCACTGAAAAATAATCAACAATTAAGAACACAATATACATTTATAATAAATAAAAATACAAAACGAAATAAGTCAGAATCAAGTCACAAGAAGCAGAACAAATGTGTGCAAAATGCCTAAAGTGCAGGGGAACAATATTCAAAACACAAGTCACAAATAGTTAAATTAGATCACCCTGAGTGATCAATTAATAAAATAAAAATAAAGAAATTATTAAAATAACGAAAGTATGGCCAGGATTGTCAACTTTGTCTTTTTAACTGCAGAAAAACAATAAACGCTAAACTAGAGCGGCAGTCTTTTTAGCTAAACGTGTTCACAGTATCCAAAAATCAAATTAGAAGTAGAACCGGCTGAAATGTTTTGAAATCACTTGTACCCATACCTGATCGAAAAAACAAAATCCAGTCTTTCACTCGGCCTGTGTCCGTTTGAGTCTTTTCAAATTGTGTGCGGGGATAAAATACATTGTAAACCGCTTAACGTGAAAAACGCTTAACGGCTTTGTCCTAAAACTGTTATATTAAAAGATCAAATTCTGTACACACCTTATTAATAAAGCATACTATAGCCTACAGAAAAGCAGTTGAGCCCAGAATATGAACGCAGCGCGTTTTATTATAGGCTACGTTAAGCATTGTCCTCCCATAGAAAACCGTTAAAGATAAAGCTGTGACTTTCTAAAGGAGAAACGTGTTGCGTTCATATTCTGGGTTCATCTGCTTATCTGCACATAGAATGGTTTCTTAAGGTGTGTAGCCTACTGTGTTCATACATTAAGCACGTAAAAGTGTCATTTAAGCGTTTTAAAAGCTTTTTTCGCGTTAAGCGTTTTAGAACGTCCCGAGGAAAACCAGCCTGTTAACGTTGGCCGGCAGAAGTGCGATCATGGTTTTCCTGATGCTAAATCCAGCCTTGGAGAATATCCTTTCTGATGGTGTGCATCTTTAGATTTTCTTATCCCAGACATTTTTAAAGATTTAAATCCCTGCCGACAAGACGCTCCTCTGTCGGTCACGGATCGAAAGTGAAACTTAAATCTGTCACGGGGGGTTTGGATTTATTCACGCTGCACGCACGTTAAAAAATATTTATTAAAAGCTTCTTTCTTTGCACATTTTTATTGACAGCATTATCATAATAGGCTGTATATTAACGTATTGACAGAAAACCAGTAGTTCTATGTGAAATCAGACATTAAGCACACTCATATAGCCAACATGACATAATCCTCATTTAATAACACATCTGCGAAGATTCGACCGTGAGATTGGTAGTCGAATCAGGCTCCTCCTATTGAAGCATCGAATCTTCGACTATTCGGGGTCACCCCTACAGGAAAGTAATTTCTTTAAGAAATTAATTCTCTGTCGTGGCTTCATACTTACAGTATATCTTAAGGTCGAGTACACCAAGATATTTATAATTTGTGACTGATTGTATTGGCTGCCTACTAATTAAAACATAATTTATGCTCTCTAAAATCAATAGATATTTCCTTTGTTGTGGAGATGTTAAGAATTAGATTTGATTTCTTGCACCAATTAAAAAAAAGAAGGATTCAGAGATAGTCAGAATGCAAAATCTTACTAAATATAAAAGCACCCAAACAGGTGTCGCAATTTGACATTTTACAGGGGACAATTTTTGGAGGTAAAAATTTTGTTGACTTGCTTCGTTGAAAAATTACATTAAGTGAACAATGTCTTTTAATACTGACACTTTATTTGTTAAACCAACCAAAGATTATAAATAAGAAATATTAGTTAAAGAAAGAAAAAAAAGAAAGATTAGTTAGAAAGAAAAGTAAGAAATAATAAAGAAAGCAAGAGCAGTTAGAAAGAAAGAAAGATTATTTAGAAAGAAAGACAAAAAGAAAGAAAGAAAGAAAGAAAGAAAGAAAGAAAGAAAGAAAGAAAGAAAGAAAGAAAGAAAGAAAGAAAGAAAGAAAGAAAGAAAGAAAAGCTAGAAAGATTTCTGTGTTTGGACTGATGGGTTCCTGAACCCGAGGTTTCCCCGAGGTCAGACCTAGAGCTCCTCCTTTCCGATTTTAGGGAAACATCAGGTTCATCGGAGACGTCCAATGGAATTCATAGGCGTGCCGAATAAACACCATAGACACAGTGTCAGAGTAAAACTATATGCAAAATAAGATACACCGGTGTTTTGCCAGATGAGAAGTTTATCTATGTGTCATCTTTTTACTACTTGAATTCATTTTACTCTAATTCTCTTTTAATTCATTTTATAACTGTTTTAATTTCCCTTGCTTTTATTTTTGTTTATTTTCTATGCAAAGCTCTTTGAATTGCCATAGTGTAATTATTTTAATTCCTTTCTATGTAAAGCATTTTGAATAACTGTTTTATCCTTGCTTTTATTTTGTGATTATTTGTATTCCTTTCTATGTAAAGCACTTTGAATTGCCATAGTGTGCTATATAAATAAACTTGCCAAAAAAATGAACTTGCCAAACCTTAGTAATAATAACTTGTATGAGTGTTTTAAGTCAGGGTTTCGTTCTGAGCATAGCATGAAAACTGCCCTAGCGAGAGAAACTAATGATCTGTTAATGGCTGCTGACAGCGGGTCCTCATCTATTCTTGTTTTACCTGACTTTGAGTGCAGCTTTCGACACAATATTATCTTGAACCGTTTATCCGATATTGCTATCACTGGGATCCCTCATGCCTGGTTCACTTCATACCTTTCAAACCGTACAGTTTGTACAACTAAAAAAAAGTCATTCCCAACCTTCTGTTGGCTGTGGTGTCCCCCAAGGTTCTGTCCTAGGTCCCCTATTGTTCCTAACCTACCTTCTCCCACTCTGCAATATCGTTCCAAATTCTGTATTAAATTCCACTGTTACGCTGATGATACACAGCTTTATATATCTACAAACCCTGATTCCATTCTCTCCCCGGCCTGTCTTACAAAATAAATGTCTGGTTTTCTGCCAACTTCCTCAAACTTAATGGCAGTAAGACTGAAGTACTCCTCATTGGCACTAATTCTACTTTCTCTAGGTGGAGGAGACCCAATGAAGAGGAACAGAGACTTCCAGAGGCGAGCAGAAGCCCGGCTAAAGGCCCTACGGCCCACGGTGGCTCGGCGAGCAGAAGGGGTATGAAGGAGACCCAGTGAAGAGGAACAGAGACTTCCAGAGGCGAGCAGAAGCCCAGCTAAAGGCCCTACGGCCCACGGTGGCTCGGCGAGCAGAAGGGGTATGAAGGAGACCCAGTGAAGAGGAACAGAGACTTCCAGAGGCGAGCAGAAGCCCGGCTAAAGGCCCTACGGCCCACGGTGGCTCGGCGAGCAGAAGGGGTATGAAGGAGACCCAGTGAAGAGGAACAGAGACTTCCAGAGGCGAGCAGAAGCCCGGCTAAAGGCCCTACGGCCCACGGTGGCTCGGTGAGCAGAAGGGGTATGAAGGAGACCCAGTGAAGAGGAACAGAGACTTCCAGAGGCGAGCAGAAGCCCGGCTAAAGGCCCTACGGCCCACGGTGGCTCGGCGAGCAGAAGGGGTATGAAGGAGACCCAGTGAAGAGGAACAGAGACTTCCAGAGGCGAGCAGAAGCCCGGCTAAAGGCCCTACGGCCCACGGTGGCTCGGCGAGCAGAAGGGGTATGAAGGAGACCCAGTGAAGAGGAACAGAGACTTCCAGAGGCGAGCAGAAGCCCAGCTAAAGGCCCTACGGCCCACGGTGGCTCGGCGAGCAGAAGGGGTATGAAGGAGACCCAGTGAAGAGGAACAGAGACTTCCAGAGGCGAGCAGAAGCCCGGCTAAAGGCCCTACGGCCCACGGTGGCTCGGTGAGCAGAAGGGGTATGAAGGAGACCCAGTGAAGAGGAACAGAGACTTCCAGAGGCGAGCAGAAGCCCGGCTAAAGGCCCTACGGCCCACGGTGGCTCGGCGAGCAGAAGGGGTATGAAGGAGACCCAGTGAAGAGGAACAGAGACTTCCAGAGGCGAGCAGAAGCCCGGCTAAAGGCCCTACGGCCCACGGTGGCTCGGGGAGCAGAAGGGGTATGAAGGAGACCCAGTGAAGAGGAACAGAGACTTCCAGAGGCGAGCAGAAGCCCAGCTAAAGGCCCTACGGCCCACGGTGGCTCGGCGAGCAGAAGTCTCTGTTCCTCTTCACTGGCTTCTACTCCAGACAGAGTGTGTCAGCCAGAGTGTGTCAGTGTCTCTACCAGACCGAGTGTGACTGCGCGCGAGAGAGATCGAGTGTGTCTGAGCATTAGTAAATTGGTACATAGTAATATATAATTATTATATAAGAGGCATGGAAGTTCGATAAATGGACAACAATATAAATAAAAACAAAAATTAAATTATTACCACTGAATTAGCAGACTGTGATTTGAATCAGATAGACAGAAGATGAAAACACTTTCTTGTCTGTCCCAAGTACCACTACAAGGGATTTTTTTTTATTTTTTTTTATTTGCAGCACTGTATTTTTCATTCTTAACTCTAAATGACTCAGAGAAACTTCACTATATCCTCGGAAAGGATGAGCTGCAAAATAGGCCTACCTTACACACCATATGAGGTGGTCAATCCATTGTATTTGTTTTTTATATTATTTTATATAGTATTTATATTTTATATACATTGTATTTATAATTAAAGGAGCTGTATGTAAGATTGTGGCCAAAACTGGTACTGCAATCACTTTCAAATTACTGTAGAGTGGTGTATCCCCTCCCCCTCCCCCCTGACTCGAGGTTGCCAGATCGGCTGCAGGATCCAGCAGGAACGTGACGAGCTGCAGCTGTGGTAACTAGAGCAGAGCTGGCAACCCGGATGCCGCAACACTACTGACTTCGTGATTGGTAGATAGGTGGAGGGTGGAGCATCAGACCAAAACACAACATGACAACATCAACATCAGTTGAGGGCTGCAACTGCACTTTTTAAATGACAATATCCTGGCCGGACTATTGTTGTCAGTGATATAAGTATTTGAAATGTACATGATTTCTTAATGTCTCGTGATATATCAGGGCCATTTTATGATTTATTGAAATAAATTTCTTACATACAGCTCCTTTAATATTAGGATAGACTAGAGATATTATCTTCTGTTAATTATTATTGCTATTATTACCTATTATCCGACTGCACGAGAGTCATGGAACTCTCTGCGAGGCGTGAGTGTGAGTCACAATTTGCACTGTTAGTTCTGTTTTTGAATAAAGGGTTGGAAATTAATGCTTTTATGTTTAAAAATTTTTTTAATCCGATTCATCGATTATTAAAATAAACGTTAGTTGCAGCCCTACAACCACACCTCTCCCAGAGCTCCGCCTCTTTGCTGACGCTCTCTCTCTCTCTCTCACACACACACACCTCTCCCGAAGCTCTGCCTCTTTGCTGACGCTCTCCTGCAGGATCTTGTTGTGCCGCTCCAGCAGTGTGTCGTGGTCCGTCTGCAGCTGCTGCAGTTCTGCTGTGCTGCACTGAAGGCTGGTCTGCGTCTCCTGCAAGCGTCTGCGCAGCTGCTCCAGCCCAGCCTCCATCTGCTCTCTGAACACACAACACAACCAGCCTCAGAACACACACTCCCACCGCTGAACACAGTCAGTGACTCATGAAGCTCACCTCTCCTGTCTGAAGGCGTCTCCCTCGCTCTGGCCGGAGCTCTTGTGCTTCTGCTGCTTCAGGACATTATGGACACGCACCTTATAGCTCTCGAACTCAGACACGGTCGCCGCCAGATCAGCCTGCAGTTACAGTCACACCAGAGTCACACCAGAGACACACCAGAGACACATCAGAGACACACCAGAGACACACCAGAGACACACCAGAGTCACACCAGAGTCACACCAGAGTCACACCAGAGTCACACCAGAGTCACACCAGCACGAGACACACCAGAGACACACCAGAGACACACCAGAGACACATCAGAGACACACCAGAGACATACCAGAGACACACCAGAGACACATCAGAGACACACCAGAGACACACCAGAGACACACCAGAGTCACACCAGAGTCACACCAGCACGAGACACACCAGAGACACACCAGAGACACACCAGAGTCACACCAGAGTCACACCAGAGACACACCAGAGACACACCAGAGACACACCAGAGACACACCAGAGTCACACCAGAGTCACACCAGAGTCACACCAGAGTCACACCAGCACGAGACACACCAGAGTCACACCAGAGACACACCAGAGTCACACCAGAGTCACACCAGAGTCACACCAGAGACACACCAGAGACACACCAGAGACACACCAGAGTCACACCAGAGTCACACCAGAGTCACACCAGAGTCACACCAGCACGAGACACACCAGAGTCACACCAGAGACACACCAGAACGAGACAAACCAGAGACACACAAGAGACACACCAGCACGAGACACACCAGAGACACACCAGCACGAGACACACCAGTACAAGACACACCAGCACGAGACACACCAGAACGAGACACACCATAGACACACCAGAGACAAACCAGAGTCACACCAGAGACACACCAGAGACACACCAGCACGAGACACACCAGAACGAGACACACCAGAACGAGACACACCAGAGTCACACCAGAGACACACCAGAGCGAGACACACCAGAACGAGACACACCAGCACGAGACACACCAGAGACACACAGGAGACACACCAGCACGAGACACACCAGCACGAGACACACCAGCACGAGACACACCAGCACGAGACACACCAGCACGAGACACACCAGAGTCACACCAGAGACACACCAGCACGAGACACACCAGCACGAGACACACCAGCACGAGACACACCAGCACGAGACACACCAGAGACACACCAGAGTCACACCAGCACGAGACACACCAGCACGAGACACACCAGCACGAGACACACCAGAGTCACACCAGAGTCACACCAGCACGAGACACACCAGAGACACACCAGAGTCACACCAGCACGAGACACACCAGAGTCACACCAGAGACACACCAGCACGAGACACACCAGCACGAGACACACCAGCACGAGACACACCAGAGTCACACCAGCACGAGACACACCAGAGACACACCAGAGACACACCAGCACGAGACACACCAGAGACACACCAGAGACACACCAGTCACACCAGAGACACACCAGAGACACACCAGAGACACACCAGAGACACACCAGAGTCACACCAGAGACACACCAGAGACACACCAGAGACACACCAGAGTCACACCAGCACGAGACACACCAGCACGAGACACACCAGAGACACACCAGAGACACACCAGCACGAGACACATCAAAGACACACCAGAGTCACACCAGCACGAGACACACCAGAGACACACCAGAGACACACCAGAGACACACCAGCACGAGACACATCAGAGACACACCAGAACGAGACACACCAGAGTCACACCAGCACGAGACACACCAGAGACACACCAGAGTCACACCAGAGACACACCAGAGACACACCAGAGACACACCAGAGTCACACCAGCACGAGACACACCAGCACGAGACACACCAGAGACACACCAGAGTCACACCAGCACGAGACACACCAGAGTCACACCAGCACGAGACACACCAGCACGAGACACACCAGAGTCACACCAGCACGAGACACATCAGAGACACACCAGAGTCACACCAGCACGAGACACCAGAGACACACCAGAGACACACCAGCACGAGACACACCAGAGACACACCAGAGACACACCAGCACGAGACACACCAGCACGAGACACACCAGAGACACACCAGAGTCACACCAGAGTCACACCAGAGACACACCAGAGTCACACCAGTCACACCAGAGTCACACCAGCACGAGACACACCAGAGTCACACCAGCACGAGACACACCAGAGTCACACCAGCACGAGACACACCAGAGTCACACCAGAGACACACCAGCACGAGACACACCAGAGACACACCAGAGTCACACCAGAGACACACCAGAGTCACACCAGAGACACACCAGCACGAGACACACCAGAGACACACCAGAGACACACCAGAACGAGACACACCAGAGACACACAAGAGACACACCAGCATGAGACACACCAGAGACACACCAGAGACACACCAGCACGAGACAGACCAGAACGAGACACACCATAGACACACCAGAGACACACCAGAGTCACACCAGAGACACACCAGCACGTGACACACCAGAGTCACACCAGCACGAGACACACCAGAGTCACACCAGAGACACACCAGCACGAGACACACCAGAGTCACACCAGCACGAGACACACCAGAGTCACACCAGAGTCACACCAGCACGAGACACACCAGAGTCACACCAGCACGAGACACACCAGAGTCACACCAGAGACACACCAGAGTCACACCAGCACGAGACACACCAGCACGAGACACACCAGAGACACACCAGAGACACACCAGAGACACACCAGAGACACACCAGAGACACACCAGAGTCACACCAGAGACACACCAGAGTCACACCAGCACGAGACACACCAGCACGAGACACACCAGAGACACACCAGCACGAGACACACCATAGACACACCATAGACACACCAGAGACACACCAGAGACACACCAGAGACACACCAGAGACACACCAGAGTCACACCAGAGTCACACCAGCACGAGACACACCAGAGACACACCAGAGACACACCAGAGTCACACCAGAGACACACCAGCACGAGACACACCAGAGACACACCAGAGACACACCAGATACACACCAGCCCGAGACACATCAGAGACACACCAGAGACACACCAGCACGAGACACACCAAAGTCACACCAGAGTCACACCAGAGACACACCAGAGTCCCACCAGCACGAGACACACCAGCACGAGACACACCAGCACGAGACACACCAGAGTCACACCAGCACGAGACACACCAGAGACACACCAGAGTCACACCAGTAGTGTTGTCAAAAATATCGATATTTCGATAAATATCGATACTGAAATATCTGAACGGTACCAATACTAATTTCCCGAAGTATCGATACTAGCCGAGCAGTCACTTTCACTTCTCTCAAAAGGCGCGTTGACAAACACCACACGTGACGCACTCGTCTCATTCGCTCTGGTTAAATAGCAAAAGTGAAGTGAATGGAAAGATGGCGAGGGCCGCGCCCCCGCGACCGGCTTTGGTTGATTGATAAAGAACACCACGAGCGGGCATGTCGGAGAATAGCGCGGACACGCGTAAAAAACACACCGCGAGTGGGCATGTCGGAGTCGGAGAATAGCGTGGACACGCGCTACACGCCGCGAGCGGGCATGTCGGAGAATAGCGCGGACACGAGCTACACACCGCGAGCGGGCATGTCGGAGAATAGCGTGGACACGCGCTACACACCGCGAGCGGGCATGTCGGAGAATAGCGCGGACACGAGCTACACACCGCGAGCGGGCATGTCGGAGAATAGCGCGGACACGAGCTACACACCGCGAGCGGGCATGTCGGAGAATAGCGCGGACACGAGCTACACACCGCGAGCGGGCATGTCGGAGAATAGCGCGGACACGAGCTACACACCGCGAGCGGGCATGTCGGAGAATAGCGCGGACACGAGCTACACACCGCGAGCGGGCATGTCGGAGAATAGCGCGGACACGAGCTACACACCGCGAGCGGGCATGTCGGAGAATAGCATGGACACGAGCTACACACCGCGAGCGGGCATGTCGGAGAATAGCGCGGACACGCGTAAAAAACACACCGCGAGCGGGCATATCGGAGAATAGCGCGGACACGAGCTACACACCGCGAGCGGGCATGTCGGAGAATAGCGCGGACACGAGCTACACACCGCGAGCGGGCATGTCGGAGAATAGCGCGGACACGAGCTACACACCGCGAGCCGGCATGTCGAAGAATAGCGCGGACACAAGCTACACACCGCGAGCGGGCATGTCGGAGAATAGCGTGGACACGAGCTACACACCACGAGCGGGCATGTCGGAGAATAGCGCGGACACGAGCTACACACCGCGAGCGGGCATGTCGGAGAATAGCATGGACACGAGCTACACACCGCGAGCGGGCATGTCGGAGAATAGCGCGGACACGCGTAAAAAACACACCGCGAGCGGGCATATCGGAGAATAGCGCGGACACGAGCTACACACCGCGAGCGGGCATGTCGGAGAATAGCGCGGACACGAGCTACACACCGCGAGCGGGCATGTCGGAGAATAGCGCGGACACGAGCTACACACCGCGAGCGGGCATGTCGAAGAATAGCGCGGACACGAGCTACACACCGCGAGCGGGCATGTCGGAGAATAGCGTGGACACGAGCTACACACCGCGAGCGGGCATGTCGGAGAATAGCGCGGACACGAGCTACACACCGCGAGCGGGCATGTCGGAGAATAGCGTGGACACGAGCTACACACCGCGAGCGGGCATGTCGGAGAATAGCGCGGACACGAGCTACACACCGCGAGCGGGCATGTCGGAGAATAGCGCGGACACGAGCTACACACCACGAGCGGTCATGTCGGAGAATAGCGCGGACACGAGCTACACACCACGAGCGGTCATGTCGGAGAATAGCGCGGACACGAGCTACACACCGCGAGCGGGCATGTCGGAGAATAGCGTGGACACGAGCTACACACCGCGAGCGGGCATGTCGGAGAATAGCGCGGACACGAGCTACACACCGCGAGTGGGCATGTCGGAGAATAGCGCGGACACGAGCTACACACCGCGAGCGGGCATGTCAGAGAATAGCGCGGACACGAGCTACACACCGCGAGCGGGCATGTCGGAGAATAGCGCGGACACGAGCTACACACCGCGAGCGGGCATGTCGGAGAATAGCGTGGACACGAGCTACACACCGCGAGCGGGCATGTCGGAGAATAGCGCGGACACGAGCTACACACCGCGAGCGGGCATGTCGGAGAATAGCGTGGACACGAGCTACACACCGCGAGTGGGCATGTCGGAGAATAGCGCGGACACGAGCTACACACCGCGAGCGGGCATGTCGGAGAATAGCGCGGACACGAGCTACACACCGCGAGCGGGCATGTCGGAGAATAGCGCGGACACGAGCTACACACCGCGAGTGGGCATGTCGGAGAATAGCGCGGACACGAGCTACACACCGCGAGCGGGCATGTCGGAGAATAGCGCGGACACGAGCTACACACCGCGAGCGGGCATGTCGGAGAATAGCGCGGACACGAGCTACACACCGCGAGCGGGCATGTCGGAGAATAGCGTGTAGGCCTACAGATTGTTTGACTATCAATAATCCCTCACATCACTCATTTTTTAAAATTATTGTATAGGTGAAAACAGACTTAAGGAACAGGCTCCAGGGGTAGGCTACTATTTAGCAGCATATATGCTCAGCATCAGGGGTGTTTGTTGTTTGGACAGATCTGCCCCCACTGCTAAAAAAAAAAAATCCTCAAGGAAACACTGTAACTCTTCCCATTTGAACTTTTCTGAAACATTAACCAAGATGGCCTAGTATTGTTGTTGATAAGAGTCTGTGTTGTCTCGTTTTAATTCTTAAAGTTAAGATAATCTGACTGAGGAATCTTAGACAAGTAAATATTGTAACTGTGGTCAAATGTAAATTAACTGGTGCCTATTTAACTTTATTCAAAAATTATTATTTAATTCTGCAATTTTCCTTCATTAGCTATTATCATCAATTTGATTACACAGATATTAATTAAACTAAACAGCTAGACAATGGCATCTCTAAATTCAATAATGACATGCCTTTAACTGAAAATTGAATGTTTAATCTTATTATTATACACTGACTCTCTATCCTCCAATTTGATACTGTTAAGTGCTTTTTTGTTACAGTATATTTTAATCTTTGATAACAGTAGGTAATAAAAATACATCATGTTAGCTCTGGTCCAATTAAAAAATATAAACAAATAGAACTCAGGACATTTTTGTTCATGTCTAATATACCTCATTGTCATGTTCTAGACTTGTTATATTTAGCTTTAAATTAAAAAAATACCCCCTTAATATTGTGGCAGTTTTTTCTCTGTGGTATCGAAAATGGTATCGAATATCGATATTTTTCAAGGTATCGTATCGAAGTTAGAAATTCTAGTATCGTGACAACACTACACACCAGCACGAGACACACCAGCACGAGACACACCAGAGTCACACCAGAGACACACCAGCACGAGACACACCAGAGTCACACCAGAGTCACACCAGCACGAGACACACCAGAGACACACCAGAGTCACACCAGCACGAGACACACCAGAGTCAAACCAGCACGAGACACACCAGAGACACACCAGAGTCACACCAGAGACACACCAGAGTCACACCAGGACGAGACACACCAGAAATACACCAGAGTCACACCAGCACGAGACACACCAGAGTCACACCAGCACGAGACACACCAGAGTCACACCAGAGACACACCAGAGTCACACCAGAGACACACCAGCACGAGACACACCAGAGTCACACCAGCACGAGACACACCAGAGTCACACCAGCACGAGACACACCAGAGTCACACCAGAGACACACCAGAGTCACACCAGAGTCACACCAGAGACACACCAGCACGAGACACACCAGAGTCACACCAGCACGAGACACACCAGAGTCACACCAGCACGAGACACACCAGAGTCACACCAGAGACACACCAGAGTCACACCAGAGACACACCAGCACGAGACACACCAGAGTCACACCAGAGACACACCAGAGTCACACCAGCACGAGACACACCAGAGACACACCAGAGTCACACCAGAGTCACACCAGAGACACACCAGAGACACACCAGAGACACACCAGAGACACACCAGAGACACACCAGAGTCACACCAGCACGAGACACACCAGAGACACACCAGAGACACACCAGAGACACACCAGCACGAGACACACCAGAGACACACCAGAGACACACCAGAGACACACCAGAGACACACCAGAGTCACACCAGCACGAGACACACCAGCACAAGACACACCAGAGACACACCAGAGTCACACCAGCACGAGACACACCAGAGACACACCAGAGACACACCAGAGACACACCAGAGACACACCAGAGTCACACCAGAGTCACACCAGCACGAGACACACCAGAGACACACCAGCACGAGACACACCAGAGACACATCAGAGACACACCAGAGTCACACCAGCACGAGACACACCAGAGACACACCAGAGTCACACCAGAGTCACACCAGAGACACACCAGAGACACACCAGAGACACACCAGAACAAGACACACCAGAGACACACAAGAGACACACCAGCACGAGACACACCAGCACGAGACACACCAGAGACACACCAGCACGAGACACACCATAGACACACCAGAGACACACCAGAGTCACACCAGAGACACACCAGACACACCAGCACGTGACACACCAGAGTCACACCAGAGACACACCAGAGACACACCAGCACGAGACACACCAGAGTCACACCAGAGTCACACCAGAGTCACACCAGCACGTGACACACCAGAGTCACACCAGAGACACACCAGCACGTGACACACCAGAGTCACACCAGAGACACACCAGCACGAGACACACCAGAGTCACACCAGAGACACACCAGAACGAGACACACCAGAGACACACAAGAGACACACCAGCACGAGACACACCAGAGACACACCAGAACGAGACACACCAGAGACACACCAGCACGAGACACACCAGAGTCACACCAGAGACACACCAGAGACACACAAGAGACACACCAGCACGAGACACACCAGCACGAGACACACCAGAGTCACACCAGCACGAGACACACCAGAGTCACACCAGAGACACACCAGCACGAGACACACCAGAGTCACACCAGCACGAGACACACCAGAGACACACCAGCACGAGACACACCAGAGTCACACCAGAGACACACCAGAGTCACACCAGAGTCACACCAGAGACACACCAGAGTCACACCAGAGACACACCAGAGTCACACCAGAGACACACCAGAGACACACCAGAGACACACCAGAGTCACACCAGCACGAGACACACCAGAGTCACACCAGCACGAGACACACCAGAGTCACACCAGAGACACACCAGAGACACACCAGAGACACACCAGAGTCACACCAGAGTCACACCAGAGACACACCAGAGTCACACCAGAGACACACCAGAGTCACACCAGAGTCACACCAGAGTCACACCAGAGTCACACCAGAGACACACCAGAGTCACACCAGAGACACACCAGAGTCACATCAGAGACACACCAGAGACACACCAGAGTCACACCAGAGTCACACCAGAGTCACACCAGAGTCACATCAGAGTCACACCAGAGTCACACCAGAGACACACCAGAGTCACATCAGAGACACACCAGAGTCACACCAGAGTCACATTAGAGACACACCAGAGTCACACCAGAGACACACCAGAGTCACACCAGCACGAGACACACCAGAGTCACATCAGAGACACACCAGAGTCACACCAGAGACACACCAGAGACACACCAGAGTCACACCAGCACGAGACACACCAGAGTCACACCAAAGACACACCAGAAATACACCAGAGTCACACCAGAGTCACACCAGAGACACACCAGAGACACACCAGAGTCACACCAGAGTCACACCAGAGACACACCAGAGTCACACCAGAGACACACCAGAGTCACACCAGAGACACATCAGAGTCACACCAGAGTCACACCAGAGTCACACCAGAGTCACACCAGAGTCACACCAGAGACACACCAGCACGAGACACTAGCAGAGAACATGTGTGAATGACACGAGCAAGAGGAGCTGAGGTTCACTTTCTCTGCTCAGACAAACATTTCTGCTGCGCTCGTGTGTGTGTGTGTGAGAGAGAGTGTGTGTGTGTGAGAGAGTGTGTGTGTGTGTTCACCTTGGCGGCTGCGCTCTCGTCCTGCAGCTTCTTCACACTGAGTTGCTGTGAGCGTGACGTGTGTGTGTGCTGCTCGTTCATCAGCTTCAGCTGCTCCTGCAGACGGTGCCGCTCCGCTGTCAGATCACTGCACTGAATCTGAGACACACACATCATCATTAACACACACACATACAAACATCATCGTTAACACACACACACACACACACACATGTTGTGTTTTCATGTTTTATGGGGACTTTCCATAGACATAATGATTTTTATACTGTACAGACTGTATATTCTATTCCCTTACACTAACCCTATCCCTAAACCTACCCATCACAGGAAACATTCTGCATTTTTACATTTTCAAACAACATCACTTAGTATGATTTATAAGCTGATTTCCTCATGGGGACCAAAAAATGTCCCCACACGAACAAGGATTTCGGATATTGCCATCCTTGTGGGGACATTTTGTCCCCATAACGTAGGGTTTACCAGGCCACACATACACACACACACACACACACACACACACACACACACACACACACACACACACACACACACACACACACACACACACACACACACACACAGAGTATATTGCCTCAGGAAAACGGCTCGTTAATTGAACATCATCTCGCGTAACAAATGGAGTCAGACGCAGCAATGATCAGGTTGACGTCACTGCCGGGAAATAACTTGATTTATTAATAAAGTCTAGTGAACACGGTTATTAGTCAGCATGTAAAGCGGGCTGACGGGTTGCTTCAGTTCGCGGATGTGTGTGTGTTATCAGTGTAAACATGCTGAACTTACACTCCTACAGCTGCTGCATCAACACACACACACACACACACCTTATACTCCTCCAGCTGCTGCTGATGGGCCTCCAGTTCTCCTCTCAGAGACGCCTGACTGATCATCTGAGCTGCTTCCTGTGGGAGATTCACACACACATCAGACATGAACACCACCACCAGATCAACGTATCTATCTATCTATCTATCTATCTATCTATCTATCTATCTATCTATCTATCTATCTATCTATCTATCTATCTATCTATCGCAAATCAGGTTTATTGAAAAAATTTGAAATGAACAAATCAAACAAAAGGAATTGAAATAGCTCAACACAACAAATGTTTCAAGTGGTTTCCCCAAATCCAACTGGAACTTTTCATTTTATTATTTACTTTCTAATTTTTGGTTACAAAATTATTCCACCCCCTGATATAATCCCTCACCACAGCACATATCTGCAGAACAGGTGTTGTCTCAGTAATCAAGGGCTTCATTAGTTGCACCAGGTGTGCTTGAGCTAGAACACACGAAATGTCTGAACTGGCTAAGTTTGTTGAGTGTCGCGTTTGACTGTGTTAGAAATACAGTAAGTCAAAAGAATGGTCCAAAAAGTGAAGAGAAGACACCATCGCCCTTCACAAACAAGCAACAGGACACAGAAAGATGGCGAAGACACTAAATGTTCCTCGAAACACCGTTGGAAGCATAGTTCACAAGTTAAAAGAACAGTGATCTCACTCCCTGGACGGGCAGAAAAAGGAAGATATCGAAGATACCTCGTCTGCAGCAGCTCAACAGCAGACGGCTGCTCTACTAAGAGCTGAAGATGCTTGCCATGAAGGGGCTGAATCATTTTGAGACTGCAGAAGTCAATAAGCTGTATTTTCAGTTAGATTTGGGGAAAACACTTGAAACATGTGTTGTGTTGAGCTATTTCAATTACTTTTGTTTGATTTGTTCATTGCAAACAGCTGAAAATCTGTAAATTGCGCCAATAAACCCGATTTGCAATGGGGGTTGAATCATTTCAATTGCAACTGCATCTATCCACCTATTCATCTATGTTCTGTCTATGTATGTATGTCTGTCTGCCTGAAATATGAAGTTTTGTCCTACAGTGGCTCCACTTGTACTTTATGATTAAGTTGCCATGCGATATTAATGTCTAAGTAAAGGCTACATTTATGCCCGCAGAGACTGAATTCATGAGACTCACTCTTTGTTTTGCGTCTCCCAGATCTTTTTTGGTTTTGACCAGCAGTTGTTTCATCCTGGAGGCTTTCTCCTCCGTCTGATCCAGCGAGGACTTCAGAGACTCTGAGAGAAACACACATAATGAGCTTCATCAGTGTTTGATCCTGTGCAGCTCCAGGCCATTTCACTAGATTACAGCATCAGATCAACAGATGAACAGATTCAGCTTTCAGTCGTACCAATGTCCTGGTTCAGCCGCTGCTCTCGCTCTCTCTGTGTTTGCATGTGCAGTTGGTGCTCCTCCGCCTGTTTGTCTCTCTCAGAGAGTTTGTGATTGAGTTCTTTCACCAGTTTCTCGTAGTCCGCCATCTCCATGTCCATCAGTGAGCTCTGCTGAGCGCCCTGCAGAGCCGGAGATCACACACACTGATGTAGCTCTCACACATGTGGCCTGTGGTACACAACCATGACTAACTGGGTACTGGTGTTCAGATAAACGTCAAAACCCTCCCTAAAATAATAATAATAATAATAATAGTGTACTCTCATTATATGATTGATCAGTCCATCTATCGGCTCTCAGTCTGGCACGACAGCCACAGTGTGATCGGAGTTGTGTTTGTGGACATGCCTTTCTCAGCTGCTCGAGCTCCTGAGCCGTCTGGTGGAGCTGATGTGTGTGTTTGCTGAGCTGAGCTTGAAGCTCCTCCACCTCCTTCACTGCAGCATGGTGCTCCTGGAGAAACACACACACATCTTTAAAAACTTCAATGGAAAAGAACAGAAGACACTGCTGTGCATGTGTATCAAGAGATCTTGCTGCCACTGTTCGTACAGATACTGTAAAATGAGATTCCAGGACTTCAAAGGACTTTAAGCACTACTGTTTTTGGTTTTCAAGAAATACAATTAAAGATCTTATCAAACAATATTTTTAATATCTTTCAAATTCTAAAAAATGTATTCCAGAAATGCAAAGATTTCAAAATCCTATTCAAACAGAGTTTCCTCCCATGAATACTTTATGTGATAATAATAATAATAATAATAATAATACATTTTATTTGTATTGCACTTTACACATGAAGGACTCATCTCAAAGTGCTACAGGTGCACAGATAAAAACAGTAAAAACAGTCAAAGGCAGCAATAAATAAAAATATATTAAGAAAATGCAATAATAAATAAATGGGTCTTTAATTTGTTTTTAAAAGCCTCTAAGGGCTATGGCACCCTCAGGTGGTTAGGGAGGGCATTCCACAGTCGAGGCGCAGCCGCCTGGAAGGCCCTATCTCCCATAGTGCATAGTTTGGACTTATGGACCTGGAGTTTATGGCTGTCAGAGGAACGGAGATGCCGGGTTGGGTTATGCCTATTTAAGAGTTCTTTGAGGTACAGTGGTGCGTTGCCATAAAGACACTGATAGGTCAGGAGACAGATCTTATAATCAATCCTGAACCTAACAGGAAGCCAGTGAAGTTTATGGAGGATGGGTGTGATATGTTCTGATTTGCGCACCCTCATCAGGACCCTGGCAGCGCAATTCTGAATGTACTGCAGTCTCCTGCCAGGGATCCCAATGAGGAGTGAATTGCAGTAATCGAGCCTGGAGGAGACAAAGGCATGGACCAAATTCTCTGCATCAGAAAGAGGGATGCAGTTTGGAAATATTCCGGAGATGAAAGAATGCAGTCTTACAGATAAGTTGGATGTGGGTGTTAAATGATAAGTGCGGGTCAAATCGAACCCCTAAGTTTGTTATGGAAGATGTCAGAGGAATATCATAGCCTGCAAATGAATAGACAGTCAGAGGGGAGAATCGGAGTTGGTGTAGGGTCCCAATGAGGAGACATTCAGTTTTAGAGCTGTTTAATTGAAGGAAGTTATCAGTCATCCATGCCCTTGTCTCCTCCAGGCAGGCAGTTAGAGTGGAGAGTGATGATGCGGACGATGTGGGGTCCAACCTGACATAGAGCTGAGTATCGTCAGCATAGCAATGGAAAGCAACTCCATGCCTGCTGATGATGTGGCCCAAGGGGAGCATATAAATGGAAAAAGGAGTAGGGCCGAGAACCGAGCCCTGGGGCACTCCACATGTAACTGTGTGGGGCCTCGACCTGGCTCCCCCCAGGGCCACATACGCAACTCTATCAGTCAGGTAGGACCGAAACCGATCGACCAGAAGACTGAAAGACCTGACCTGATTGACCTGAAGAATGAAATTTGTATAATTTACTTGGAAAAATATGAGCAATATCCATGTGAAATGGCTATATATCTATATCAGACGGGCTGCAGCATTCATTTTTGCGCGAAAGATTGTATTTGTGTTTTTCCGAAAAAATTAAACACTTATTTCATGTTTATGTATACATGTATTGTCTTTCAATAATTCAAGCACTTTAAGTACTGTTTCATAAATATAGCTGTTTTCAAGGACTTAAATTTCAAAAAAATCTTTAAGTTCTTCAAGGCCTTTAACCCCTGAGGGACGCACGAGTACGCCAGCGTTTGCTGGAGGCCAGAGACGCTCGACCGTACCTTAGTCTTCTGCTCTCTGAGGAGCCTCTCTGCCTCCAGCTCTCGCTCCAGCTTCTGCATGTCCAGCGTCTGCGCCTCCAGCTGTGTGACGGTCCTCTGCAGCGCCTCGGCACGGGCCTCCAGATCCGCTCGCTCTGACGACAGCAGCTCATGCTGAGAGCGATCACCACAGAGGAACACTTACTGATGACACCAACACCACACTGCTCATGCTCATCCTACCCTCTCTTTTAACTATACACTTACACATGTCACTGTGTTAGATACAACTGAATCAATTATAGTGGATGTATGAAGAAGAGGAACCACAGGTCTGGAGTATCACATTAACTAAGGACATTTCACAGTCTTTATTTGTAACACTGAATCTCCCGTCTGTAACACACTTGCTTGCACATGACGGATGGGTGGTGTTATTGGAGTACCTGCTGAACTGCACTCTGGAGACGCCGGCTCAAATCTTCACTGTGTTTATCCGCCTGTTCCAGCCGCTCAGTCTGCTTGTCATAATCCACCAGCAAATTCTACAAATACATGATTAAGAAGTGCACTGTTTACTTCTGCACTAGTAGATCTCGTCCGACACTATAATGGAGGATGAGCTAAACCTTGTAGTGCTCTGCCCCGTGGATGATGTCCTTCACAGAGCGTGCCAGACGGTCCCGCTCAGCCTTCAGCTGCTCCACGTCCTCCCTCAGAGCGGCGGCCTGGAGGCACAAACACAAGCTCAGTCAACACAAGCTCAGTCAACACAAGCTCAGTCAACACAAGCTCAGTCAACACAAGCTCAGTCAACACAAGCTCAGTCAACACAAGCTCAGTCAACACAAGCTCAGTCCACAGCCCTGGAGCGCCTCGGAGGGACACGACACCACCCACCTCGCTCTTGCTGAGCTCCAGCTCCTTCTTGGCCTTCACAGCAACCGCTTTGATCTTGTTCATGCGTTCATCCTTATCCTTGCTTGCTTTCTTCAGCGCTTCTACACAACAGAAGAGTCATCAAGAATGTAAGGGAAACGGTTTCGGCAAGAAGGCTCATGGAATTAAGAGTGCAACATGAACGAACATACCTATTTCATCAGATAACTCTTTCAGTTTCTCATTTTCATCAGACACCGATGACTCTTTGCATGTCTGAAAAGTGACAATCGAAGGAAAGAAATGTCAGATGTCACTTACAAATTCTAGATTATTCTGTAGAGTAATTAAAAAAACGTAGTTATGTATTTTTTATGGAACCTTGTTTACGGCAACGAGGAAAAAATGAAGATAATTGTGACTTTTTTATCTCTTGTTCAGTTTATAATTTGCAATTCCTACTTAATTTCACACAATCCTGACTTTATTTTTCGCAATTCCTACTTTATTTCACAGAATCCTGACTTTATTTCTTGCAACTCCCACTTCATTTCTCGCAATTTCAACTTTATTTCTCGCAAATCCGACTTTATTTCTCGCAATTTCAACTTTATTTCTCGCAATTTCAACTTTATTTCTCGCAACTCCAACTTTATTTCTCGCAACTCCAACTTTATTTCACACAATCCTGACTTTATTTCACACAATCCTGACTTTATTTCACACAATCCTGACTTTATTTCACACAATCCTGACTTTATTTCTCGCAATCCCGACTTTATTTCTCGCAATTTCAACTTTATTTCTCTCAATCCCGACTTTTTCACGCAATTCCTACTTTATTTCTCGCAATTCCAACTTTATTTCACACTATCCTGACTTTATTTCACACAATCCTGACTTTATTTCACACAATCCTGACTTTATTTCACACAATCCTGACTTTATTTCACACAATCCTGACTTTATTTCTCTCAATACCGACTTTATTTCTCGCAATTTCGACTTTATTTCTCGCAATTTCAACTTTATTTCACGCAATTTCAACTTTATTTCTCGCAAATTCAACTTTATTTCTCGCAAATTCAACTTTATTTCTCGCAATCCCGACTTTATTTCATGCAATTCCTACAGAATCCTGACTTTATTTCACGCAAATACAACTTTATTTCACGCAATCCTGACTTTATTTCACACAATCCTGACTTTATTTCACACAATCCTGACTTTATTTCACACAATCCTGACTTTATTTCACACAATCCTGACTTTATTTCACACAATCCTGACTTTATTTCACACAATCCTGACTTTATTTCACACAATCCTGACTTTATTTCACACAATCCTGACTTTATTTCTCGCAATCCCGACTTTATTTCTCGTAATCTCAACTTTATTTCTCTCAATTCCTACTTTATTTCTCGCAATTTCAACTTTAATTCTCGCAATTCTAACTTTATTTCTCGCAACTCCAACTTTATTTCACACAATCCTGACTTTATTTCACACAATCCTGACTTTATTTCACACAATCCTGACTTTATTTCACACAATCCTGACTTTATTTCACACAATCCTGACTTTATTTCACACAATCCTGACTTTATTTCACACAATCCTGACTTTATTTCTCGCAATCCCGACTTTATTTCTCGCAATTTCAACTTTATTTCTCTCAATCCCGACTTTTTCACGCAATTCCTACTTTATTTCTCGCAATTCCAACTTTATTTCACACTATCCTGACTTTATTTCACACAATCCTGACTTTATTTCACACAATCCTGACTTTATTTCTCTCAATACCGACTTTATTTCTCGCAATTTCGACTTTATTTCACGCAATTTCAACTTTATTTCTCGCAAATTCAACTTTATTTCTCGCAATCCCGACTTTATTTCATGCAATTCCTACTTTATTTCACAGAATCCTGACTTTATTTCTCGCAAATCCTACTTTATTTCACGCAAATACAACTTTATTTCACACAATCCTGACTTTATTTCACACAATCCTGACTTTATTTCACACAATCCTGACTTTATTTCACACAATCCTGACTTTATTTCACACAATCCTGACTTTATTTCACACAATCCTGACTTTATTTCACACAATCCTGACTTTATTTCACACAATCCTGACTTTATTTCACACAATCCTGACTTTATTTCACACAATCCTGACTTTATTTCACACAATCCTGACTTTATTTCTCGCAATCCTGACTTTATTTCATGCAATTCCTATATTTCACAGAATCCTGACTTTATTTCTCGCAAATCCTACTTTATTTCACGCAAATACAACTTTATTTCACACAATCCTGACTTTATTTCACACAATCCTGACTTTATTTCACACAATCCTGACTTTATTTCACACAATCCTGACTTTATTTCACACAATCCTGACTTTATTTCACACAATCCTGACTTTATTTCACACAATCCTGACTTTATTTCACACAATCCTGACTTTATTTCACACAATCCTGACTTTATTTCACACAATCCTGACTTTATTTCACACAATCCTGACTTTATTTCACACAATCCTGACTTTATTTCACACAATCCTGACTTTATTTCTCGCAATCCTGACTTTATTTCTCGCAATCCCGACTTTATTTCTCGCAATTTCAACTTTATTTCTCTCAATCCCGACTTTTTCACGCAATTCCTACTTTATTTCTCGCAATTCCAACTTTATTTCACACTATCCTGACTTTATTTCACACAATCCTGACTTTATTTCACACAATCCTGACTTTATTTCTCTCAATACCGACTTTATTTCTCGCAATTTCGACTTTATTTCACGCAATTTCAACTTTATTTCTCGCAAATTCAACTTTATTTCTCGCAATCCCGACTTTATTTCATGCAATTCCTACTTTATTTCACAGAATCCTGACTTTATTTCTCGCAAATCCTACTTTATTTCACGCAAATACAACTTTATTTCACACAATCCTGACTTTATTTCACACAATCCTGACTTTATTTCACACAATCCTGACTTTATTTCACACAATCCTGACTTTATTTCACACAATCCTGACTTTATTTCACACAATCCTGACTTTATTTCACACAATCCTGACTTTATTTCACACAATCCTGACTTTATTTCACACAATCCTGACTTTATTTCACACAATCCTGACTTTATTTCACACAATCCTGACTTTATTTCACACAATCCTGACTTTATTTCACACAATCCTGACTTTATTTCACACAATCCTGACTTTATTTCTCGCAATCCTGACTTTATTTCATGCAATTCCTATATTTCACAGAATCCTGACTTTATTTCTTGCAAATCCAACTTTATTTCACACAATCCTGACATTATTTCACATAATCCCAACTTTATTTCTCGCAATTCCAACTTTATTTCAAACAATCCTGACTTTATTTCACATAATCCTGACTTTATTTCTCACAATCAGACTTTATTTCACACAAATCTGACTTTATTTCACACAACTCTAAATATTTATAACTCGCAATTCAGAGATTATAACTTGCAATTTTGACTTTATTTCTCACAATTCCGACTTTATTTCACACAATCCTGACTTTATTTCTCGCAATCCTGACTTTATTTCATGCAATTCCTATATTTCACAGAATCCTGACTTTATTTCTTGCAAATCCAACTTTATTTCACACAATCCTGACATTATTTCACATAATCCCAACTTTATTTCTCGCAATTCCAACTTTATTTCAAACAATCCTGACTTTATTTCACATAATCCTGACTTTATTTCTCACAATCAGACTTTATTTCACACAATTCTGACTTTATTTCACACAACTCTAAATATTTATAACTCGCAATTCAGAGATTATAACTTGCAATTTTGACTTTATTTCTCACAATTCCGACTTTTACGATTTTCTGTCAGGTCTCTCTTGTCTACTCTGCTATTCTTTAGGTACTTTGGTACGTTGCATGATCTGCTTATAGATAAGGTTTGTTCGGAAACAAGAAAACATTTTAGCCAGCATTACAAACACACAATACCTGCAAGAGACCAACTTCTTCTTTGAGCTGAGATATTAGAGTGTCTTTGTCAGCCAGAACCTGTTGGAGCTCATTGGCCTCGTGAACTTGTGCGTCCGTTTCATCCGCCGGCTCTTTTTCCTCTGAACTCTGGCTCAGGTCAGCAACTTGAGCAAGCAGGCTGAGGTTTTCTGCCCTCAGCTTTTCATTCATGCCTTGCATTTCCCTCAGGTCCTTCTGCAGTCCCTCTGTATCCAACAGCACCTCCTCCAGACTGGCCTTCAGCAGGTGCTTCTCGCGGAGCAGCTCGTCGACGCGCTCCTGACGCTCCTCCGCCGACTGCCTCGCGCTCTCCAGCTCAGCCGCCAACCGCTCTACACCTTCATCACACTGCTGGGTCAGGAGCGCCTTCTCCTCCAGAGATTTACTCCAGAGATGGTTTATAAGAGCAGAGACATCCGCCGTGCCATCCAGCTCCGTCTCAGAGAAACTCTGCTTGAGGATTTCAGTGATGTGGCTCCGAACGTCAGAAAGATGCTCCTGACTAGCGTCCCTGTCTCGCCGAAGGGCGTTTCCCTCGTCCGACAGGCACACGATCTGAGCCTGGAGGAGTTTGATGGTGTCTTGACACTCCTCCTGTCCGGCTTGAAGAGCAGAGAGCTCCTCATCAAGGAGGTTTATACGCTGGTCCTTCTCCACGCTCACCGACAGCAGCCGACTCTCCAGCGTACAGATCTGCGCGAGCTGAGCCTTGTGCTCACGTTCTGATTCGGATGCCATGGACTTCAGTTTCTCCTCGAACTCTGACACAAGAGTCTTCTTGTGCTCACGTTCTGATTCGGATGCCATGGACTTCAGTTTCTCCTCGAACTCTGACACAAGAGTCTCCTTGTGTTCACCTTCTGATTCGGATGCCATGAACTCTAGCACAAGAGTCTCCTTGTGTTGTAGATTCCCCAGGATTTCTTCCGTTTTGTTCCTCAGGTCCTCGAAGGACATCTTGCCTGCATGGTCCAGCGTGTTCTCTGCATTAATGTGCTCTAACAAACTGTCCCTCTCCTGGAAGAAGCTCTCAAGCTCGTCCTGCAGACCCTGAACCGAGGACATGGTTTGCTCCTTCATGGCTCTGTATTGCTTCATGAAGTGCTCTGTTCTGTCTCTGAGATTATTACGTGTGATCATGCTCTCATCTTCAGGAGGAGGCGAGCGTGTGTCTTGCGGAGCGTCGACGACGTGTTCTGGCTGATCTCTTTCAGCACTGGAGCTAAAGCAAGTTTCCAGTTCCCTTGAGTCTTGGTTGTGGGACTCTTCCAAGGTTTGGACGTCTTCATTAGAGATGCTGCGTGCCTCTCCGCTTTTGCCCACAGATGCTTCACCACTGTCTTTGCTCATTTGAAGCTCGTTGATTGTGAACTCCAGCTCCTCCTTCTCCACAGTGAACTCCTCTCTGACCTGCTTCAGCTCAGACTCCAGCTCCACCTTCACATTTCTAAGAAACTCGAGCTCTTCTTGAAACATCATGTTTTGAGCCTGCAAATCCTCCAGGGCTAGCTTCAGCCCGCCGCCCTCGTCGCTGGAGTCGTCCGAGGCAGAGGAGTCCGCCAGCGGCTGCGGAGGCGCTGCTCGATTGCTGTCCTCCTCTTCCTCCTGAACGTCCTGCAGGAATCCCTCCTTCAGCGCCAGCTGCTCCGAGAGCTCGTCCTGCAGCAGAAGCAGCCGCTCGCGCTCCCTCTCGAAGTCCGCGGCGTTCAGCTCCATCTGCTCCTCCAGGTAGCGCAGCTCATCCTCGTACTGCTTGCCCAGTCTCTCCATCTCCCTCTGCAGATTTTCCACCTCCTGCTGGGACTCGGTGAGGCTCATCTGGTGGGATTCTCGGAGCGCTTCGGTCGCGGCCGTCCACTGCGTCTTGGCTTCCAGCAGCTCTTCTTGAGTTTGAGATATCTTGGACTCGTATTCAGTGCAGGCTGCCCTAAAGCCAGCAGTGAGCTCGGCTGTGCTTCTCTGCATTTCTGCACACTCGATATTCTTCAAGTCTAGTTCCTCCTGGAGAGTGGCTAATCTTCCCTCTGTTTCCTGTAAATACATTTCAAATTTGCTTCTTTACAGTGGATTTCATGCTATATTAAAGGTGCATTGTGTAATATTTAGGAGGATCTGTTGCAATATCATAAACATAATCATGTTTTCAGTGGTGTATAAAGGCCTTACATAATGAACCGTTGTGTATTTATTACGTTAGAATGAAGCATTTCTCTTTCTCACACACACCGCGGGTCCGCTTACATCAACATGTTTCTACGGTGGCTCTGAACGGACAAACGCATTTCGTCACTATGTTGTTCTTGATGTAAAGAAGCTGCTAAAGTCAGCGAATAAAACACTGACACAATGATGAACAAGTGACAATAATATTCGCAATAACATATGGTTTTACTGAATAATTAAGTAAACCTAATTTCTTAATTAATCTTTGTAAAGAAAGCTCATTGCTGAACTGGCTACTCTCTGCTGTCTAAGACGACAACATCACTTCCTGTTGGCCACCGTAACTTCTGTTGGGTGCAATTCACAACCTCACCACTAGATGCCGCTAAAAATTACACACGGCACCTTTAAATGAACTGTTACCGAAAGAACACATGAAACTCACAGACTGAGTAAAAGGTTAAGGTTACCTGTGCCTGTTTCTTGAACTCCTCGTGTTCTCTGCGCAGTAGCGCCAGGCTCTGCTGACTCTCGGCCTTCTCCTGCAGCACAGCGCTCATTCGCTCACTCAGCTCCTGTTGGGGTCAGGAACACAATCATTGAAACATATCCTTGCTACGCATCATTTTGATGTGCAAACATATCAATACTTTGCAGGGTCTCCTAACAGTACATAATCTATTGTCTTAGCCCAGTTGCTTTCCCACCGTCAGGCCGAATGGTTCTCAGCACTTTAAGGAAAGGTTGTAAGGTTACACTTCAGCATGATTTGGCCTGGATTTCTCGGCTCAAATGTGCCGGTGGAACGGCTGTGCTGCTGTGAGGACAGTTTAAGTGTAGTGTAGGACAGACTGACAGACTGAAGGACTGACTGACGGACTAAAGGACTGACTGAGGGACTGACGGACTGACGGACTGACTGACTGACTGACTGACGGACTGACGGACTGACGGACTGAAGGACTGACGGACTGACTGACTGACTGACGGACTGAAGGACTGACTGACGGACAGACTGACAGACTGAAGGACTGACTGACGGACTAAAGGACTGACTGAGGGACTGACGGACTAAAGGACTGACTGACGGACTGAAGGACTGAAGGACTGACGGACTGACTGACTGACGGACCGACGGACTGAAGGACTGAAGGACTGACGGACTGACTGACGGACTGACGGACTGACTGACTGACTGACTGACGGACTGAAGGACTGACTGACGGACAGACTGACAGACTGAAGGACTGACTGACGGACTGACTGAGGGACTGAAGGACTGACGGACTGACTGACGGACTGAAGGACTGAAGGACTGACGGACTGACTGACTGACGGACCGACGGACTGAAGGACTGAAGGACTGACGGACTGACTGACGGACTGACGGACTGACTGACGGACTGACTGACTGACTGACTGACTGACTGATAGACTTACGGACTGACGGACGAACTGAAGGACGGACAGACGGACTGAAGGACGGACTGAAGAACTGACGGACTGACTGACTGACGGACTGAAGGACTGACGGACTGACTGACTGACGGACTGAAGGACTGACGGACTGACGGACTGATGGACTGACTGACGGACTGACGGACGAACTGAAGGACGGACGGACGGACTGACTGACGGACTGAAGGACTGAAGGTCTGACTGAAGGACTGACTGAAGGACTGACTGAAGGACTGACGGACTGACGGACGGACTGAAGGACTGACGGAATGAAGGACTGACGGAAGGACTGACTGAAGGACTGAAGGACTGACAGACGGACTGAAGGACTGACGGAATGAAGGACTGACGGAATGAAGGACTGACGGAAGGACTGACTGAAGGACTGACTGAAGGACTGACAGACGGACTGAAGGACTGACTGACGGACAGACTGACAGACTGAAGGACTGACTGACGGACTAAAGGACTGACTGAGGGACTGATGGACTAAAGGACTGACTGAGGGACTGACGGACTGACTGAGGGACTGAAGGACTGACGGACTGACTGACGGACTGAAGGACTGAAGGACTGACGGACTGACTGACTGACGGACTGAAGGACTGACGGACTGACTGACTGACGGACTGAAGGACTGACGGACTGACTGACTGACGGACTGACGGACTGATGGACTGACTGACGGACTGACGGACGAACTGAAGGACGGACGGACGGACTGACTGACGGACTGAAGGACTGACGGACTGACGGACGGACTGAAGGACTGACGGAATGAAGGACTGACTGAAGGACTGACTGAAGGTCTGACTGAAGGACTGACTGAAGGACTGACTGAAGGACTGACGGACTGACGGACGGACTGAAGGACTGACGGAATGAAGGACTGACTGAAGGACTGACTGAAGGACTGACTGAAGGACTGACAGACGGACTGAAGGACTGACGGAATGAAGGACTGACGGAATGAAGGACTGACGGAAGGACTGACTGAAGGACTGACTGAAGGACTGACAGACGGACTGAAGGACTGACGGAATGAAGGACTGACGGAATGAAGGACTGACGGACTGAAGGACTGACTGACGGACTGACTGACGGACTAAAGGACTGACTGAGGGACTGACGGACTGACTGAGGGACTGACGGACTGACTGAGGGACTGACGGACTGACTGAGGGACTGACGGACTAAAGGACTGACTGAGGGACTGACGGACTGACTGAGGGACTGAAGGACTGACGGACTGACTGACGGAATGAAGGACTGACGGACTGAAGGACTGACGGACTGACTGACGGACGAAAGGACTGACGGACTGACTGACGGACGAAAGGACTGAAGGACTGACGGACTGACTGACTGACGGACCGACGGACTGACTGACGGACTGACAGACTGAAGGAATGACGGACTGACTGACTGACTGATGGACTTACGGACTGACGGACGGACTGAAGGACGGACTGAAGGACTGATGGACTGACGGACTGACTGACTGACGGACTGAAGGACTGACAGACTGAAGGACTGACAGACGGACTGACGGACTGATGGACTGATGGACTAACCTGGATGACGGAGGGGTCTGCCGTGCCACACGCAGGCCTCAACACCTCCTGCTCTAAAGCTGGTCAAAACAGCAGAAAATATACAATACTCAGATTTACAAATATCTATGTTTTTACAATTAAGAAGCAACTTTGATAACCTTACCTGCACATTTTGCCTTCATCCTCTGCATCGCCACCATCTGTTTCTTTGCAAACTTTATCAGATCTTGTTTAGACAGTGTGTCCAGCTGTAAGGAGACAGAACTCAAGAGTGACTCTGCCCTCTAGCGCTCTCTCGAGTATATACATATACTTCTTTAGATTATTTCTCTCCTATATATTTATAATTAGCTTCCAATAAGAATAAAATAAGACTTTCCTCTGGATTTTCATTTTATTAGTAGTATTATCATCATTATCAATGAAACGCATACAAATGTACATTAATATACAAAGCAATAACGTAAAATAGACATTAACATTTCAACTTTAAACATGCAGTTTGTTTTCGAAATATGCTTATTATTGCTTTTTTTGTTCACCAGTCAAGTCAATACTGTCTAACAACAATTTATGAATAACAACTACTTAGCATAGATGAGCTTTTACAAGTTAAAGAGGGGAAAGGACTTCCTGAACTTCTAGAACTGTACAGTATATCATCATAGGTGATGACGAACTGTGTTAAAGCTTCGTTTTCCATCAAACACACTATGAATGAAGGAAGTGTCACTCAATGAAGGATCTCACCTTGGATTTGCCTGACTGTCCAGCAGGTGACGTCAAGGACTCTGCGTTCGCGTCATGCGGTGACGTCACGGACTCTGCGTTCGCGTCCTGCGGTGACGTCACGGACTCGGCGTTCGCGTCCTGCGGTGACGTCACGGACTCGGCGTTCGCGTCCTGCTGCAGGTGTAAAGCGTTAATAAGGCAATCCTACAATCCCTGTGTTAATTATGATAGTTTTGTGCTATGCAGGATAGTACACAGTAGTACCTTACACAGCAATGTCAACACTGCTCTATACTATGATGTAGTCAATAGTCATCCTCATGTATCATATTGTGGGATTGCCATGGTGAACCTTGAGGCTTCGTGTAAATTAATGGTACAGGGTAAATCATTCCCTGTCACAGCCCTCAATCTTTAATACTAATGGTTTAGACTCTTTTTGTTCAGGTCAGTAACTTAACACATTTAGTTGATCAACAATAAGACCCATTTGCATACATTAATGATAAATGTCAGTTTAAATCAATGCTTCTACAGCAGCTTTAGGTGTTTAAACTTCAGCGACTAACCTCCATTCTTGTGCGGAATCACGAAAGACAGCTGCTTAAACCGGGAATGGCTGGGAAAAGATCATTTATTCACAAACCCACTGCGTGTAAACATATCCAGCATCTCTGTGCTGTTACTTCCGCATTCGGTACTTCCGCAGTAGCGCGAGGGAGGATCAGCCAATCACGTTCGTCCATCAACCCGGGTACCTCCACGTCACTGTTTGTTTTGGTTGCCACGGCTGTATGAATGACGTCTCGACTGTCCAATCACAGGTGGCTCGTGCGGTTCTCCAACTGACTGGATTGGCTAGTCAGACCACCAGAGGCGGGACTTGATGGGGCAGGGAAAAGGATTGGCGTTTGTAAACAACGAGAACAAAACTTTCTACAGGAACGTTAAATTCATATTCACAAAAACTAATAATAATACTTTTAATCCTCCATGTACTTACCATACATTCCTCGGATTTGGTGAACCCAGTAAAGATCAAGATCTTAGTGCCTTAAAATGTTGAACAATGAATGAATGAATTAATGAATGAGGAATTTCAAACTTGCTTTAGTCATAAATAAATGACACCATTTAAATTCTAGGCATGTTGAAGTTGATTAAAAAAGATAATTTGAAAAAAATTACAGCATTTTGAATCTCCACATATCACCATTGTTCATATAGCCTATCCCCTGGCCTGTGTAGCCCAATTTCATGATAAATTCAACAATTTCTATATTATTTTTTATTTTTTTTTATTTTTTTACATTGTTGGGTATATCGGTAAAGGGTTACAGAATGCAAAAACAGGCTAACATAGATGGTTTATCTAATAAAAAATTGCATGGTGTTTAAAATAATTTAAAAAAAATAAATATTTTTTTTAATTACAATTTTAAAGACCATGCAATTGTTTGTTATATAAACCTTCTATGTTAGCCTGTTTCTGCTCAGACGCGTTGCAGTGGCTGGTTTTAGCTCAGAAGGTCCTCTCTGTTATTTCAGAAGAGCTAACACAGTGGACACTGAATGAACAGTGATCGTAAAGGAATTTATGTTTAAAGTTGAAGAAGTAGAGCATTTAAATTTTGTTGGCAACATTTTACATATTCTTTCCTATCTAAATCCAGTTCAAACTAAAGTAATAATTTAACTGGTTGTATGTGAGCGATAGGAAATCATCCATCCACCCATTCATGCTTTAGACCAGTTCTCCACCCGATTATTATTGTGTCCACTATGTTTTCACTTTGTCCACCCTGTCCACCCTTACAATAATTTAATAAAATCAGCAAAAACATACTAATAATTCAGTGACAATGTAAATTTACTGGAGTATCAATAATGAAGTACTTTAAAAAGTAAACGAAAAAAGCCCTTTAATAATAAAATAATAATAATAAACTTTATTTTCTATAGTGCCTTTAAAAGGTAAATCTCAAAGCGCTTCCCAAAAATAAGACAAAATAAAAGAGAAATACAACAATATAAAAGAATTAAGCATTTATAAAAGAGAAGTACATTCAAAATATACAATACAAATGTAAAATGTTATCAAAAAGAGTTTTATAAGTAAATGGTATAGAAATATATATACACTGACCTAAAGGATTATTAGGAACACCATACTAATACTGTGTTTGACCCCCTTTCGCCTTCAGAACTGCCTTAATTCTACGTGGCATTGATTCAACAAGGTGCTGAAAGCATTCTTTAGAAATGTTGGCCCATATTGATAGGATAGCATCTTGCAGTTGATGGAGATTTGTGGGATGCACATCCAGGGCACGAAGCTCCCGTTCCACCACATCCCAAAGATGCTCTATTGGGTTGAGATCTGGTGACTGTGGGGGCCATTTTAGTACAGTGAACTCATTGTCATGTTCAAGAAACCAATTTGAAATGATTCGAGCTTTGTGACATGGTGCATTATCCTGCTGGAAGTAGCCATCAGAGGATGGGTACATGGTAGCCATAAAGGGATGGACATGGTCAGAAACAATGCTCAGGTAGGCCGTGGCATTTAAACGATGCCCAATTGGCACTAAGGGGCCTAAAGTGTGCCAAGAAAACATCCCCCACACCATTACACCACCACCACCAGCCTGCACAGTGGTGACAAGGCATGAGTGATCCATGTTCTCATTCTGTTTACGCCAAATTCTGCCTCTACCATCTGAATGTCTCAACAGAAATCGAGACTCATCAGACCAGGCAACATTTCTCCAGTCTTCAACTGTCCAATTTTGGTGAGCTCTTGCAAATTGTAGCCTCTTTTTCCTATTTGTAGTGGAGATGAGTGGTACCCGGTGGGGTCTTCTGCTGTTGTAGCCCATCCGCCTCAAGGTTGTGCGTGTTGTGGCTTCACAAATGGTTTGCTGCATACCTCGGTTGTAACGAGTGGTTATTTCAGTCAAAGTTGCTCTTCTATCAGCTTGAATCAGTCGGCCCATTCTCCTCTGACCTCTAGCATCAACAAGGCATTTTCGCCCACAGGACTGCCGCATACTGGATGTTTTTCCCTTTTCACACCATTCTTTGTAAACCCTAGAAATGGTTGTCCGTGAAAATCCCAGTAACTGAGCAGATTGTGAAATACTCAGACCGGCCCGTCTGGCACCAACAACCATGCCACGCTCAAAATTGCTTAAATCGCCTTTCTTTACCCATTCTGACATTCAGTTTGGAGTTCAGGAGATTGTCTTGACCAGGACCACACCCCTAAATGCATTGAAGCAACTGCCATGTGATTGGTTGATTAGATAATTGCATTAATGAGAAATTGAACAGGTGTTCCTAATAATCCTTTGGGTGAGTGTATATAGTTAAAGTATTCAAATAAATCAAATAAAAGCTACCCTAAAAAAGTAAGTTTTGAGGGAAGCTTTAAAAACACCCAGAGTGTGCTTGCCTAGTCTCAGAGAACAGAGAGGTCATCAGCTTTGGGCAAACGGAGAGAAAGCCCCATCACCCATAGATCAGAGACGGGTTAGAAGACCAGCTTCAGCGGAGATCAAGCGCTGGGATGTACGGGATTACAAGTTCTGACAAATACTGAGGAGCCAGGCCATGCGAAGCCTTATAAGTGAGCATGATCATTTTAAAATCAACACGAAACTGGACCGGGAGCCGGTGTCAGGACTCTAAATAGGAGTGATGTGATCGCTGGCCCTGGTCCTGGTGCTGGCCCTGGTCCTGGTGCTGGTCCTGGTGCTGGTCCTGGTGCTGGTCCTGGTGCTGGTTCTTGTCCTGGTCCTGGTCCTGGTGCTGGCCCTGGTGCTGGTGCTGGTCCTGGTCCTGGTCCTGGTGCTGATGCTGATGCTGATGCTGGTCCTGGTGCTGGTCCTGGTCCTGGTGATGGTCTTGGTGCTGGCCCTGGTTCTGGTCCTGGTGCTGGTCCTGGTGCTGGTGCTGGTGCTTGTCCTGGTCCTGGTCCTGGTCCTGGTGCTGGTCCTGGTGATGGTCCTGGTGCTGGTCCTGGTCCTGGTGCTGGTCCTGGTGCTGGTTCTGGTCCTGGTGCTGGCCCTGGTCCTGGTGATGGTCTTGGTGCTGGCCCTGGTTCTGGTCCTGGTGCTGGTGCTGGTCCTGGTGCTGGTCCTGGTGCTGGTGCTGATCCTGGTCCTGGTGCTGGTGCTGGTGCTGGTGCTGGTGCTGGTGCTGGTCCTGGTGCTGGTCCTGGTCCTGGTCCTGGTCCTGGCCCTGGCCCTGGTGCTGGTGCTGGTCCTGGTCCTGGTGCTGGTGCTGGTCCTCGTCCTGGTCCTAGTCCTGGCCCTGGCCCTGGTCTTGGTCCTGGTCCTGGTCCTGGCAATGTTTCTAAGATGAAAAAGAGATGTTCTGACTGTATTCTGGATGTGAGGATCGAAAGTTAAATTAGCATCAAATATCACCCCCAAATTTTAGGTACTTTAGGTAATTTAGGGTACGTTTACACGACAACGATATGCTTAAAACGGAGACGTTTTTCCTTTGAGTTTCCCGTGTACAGACGACACCGATGTCAAAACGATCCCCATCAACACGTATCCACGAAAATGACTAAAAACGGTGTATTCTGCTGCCAGGCCACTAGATGGCGACGAAACACTATAGACTGAACACATAATACGCGTGTGCATGACGTCATTGTTCTCACAGATTCGCGTTTTTGCTGTTTACACGGAGACTGTTCTCAAAAACGTGCAATTTGAAACCCGTTTTCAAAACATAGCGTTTCAAGGCACCCAAAATGCTGTTGTCGCGTAAACGAACGGCCAAAGTGGTGGCGGGGCCCAGTGTGAGGTAGTGGAGGCGGGGTCCAGTGTGAGGTAGTGGAGGCGGGGCCCAGTGTGAAGTAGTGGAGGCAGGGCCCAGTGTGAGGCAGTGGAGGCGGGGCCCAGTGTGAGGTAGTGGAGGCGGGGCCCAGTGTGAGGTAGTGGAGGCAGGGCCCAGTGTGAGGTAGTGGAGGCGGGGCCCAGTGTGAGGTAGTGGAGGCGGGGCCCAGTGTGAGGTAGTGGAGGCAGGGCCCAGTGTGAGGTAGTGGAGGCAGGGCCCAGTGTGAGGTAGTGGAGGCGGGGCCCAGTGTGAGGTAGTGGAGGCGGGGCCCAGTGTGAGGTAGTGGAGGCGGGGCCCAGTGTGAGGTAGTGGAGGTGGGGTGAGTGTGAGGTAGTGGAGGCGGGGCCCAGTGTGAGGTAGTGGAGGCGGGGCCCAGTGTGAGGTAGTGGAGGCGGGGCCCAGTGTGAGGTAGTGGAGGTGGGGCCCAGTGTGAGGTAGTGGAGGCGGGGCCCAGTGTGAGGTAGTGGAGGCGGGGCCCAGTGTGAGGTAGTGGAGGCAGGGCCCAGTGTGAGGTAGTGGAGGTGGGGTGAGTGTGAGGTAGTGGAGGCGGGGCCCAGTGTGAGGTAGTGGAGGCGGGGCCCAGTGTGAAGTAGTGGAGGCGGGGCCCAGTGTGAAGTAGTGGAGGCGGGGCCCAGTGTGAGGTAGTGGAGGTGGGGCCCAGTGTGAGGTAGTGGAGGCGGGGCCCAGTGTGAGGAGGGTTTCAGTGATGAACGTAGCATACGAGGGTCAGGTTTGACATTCAACTCTTCCTGAACGAGCCAAACTCAGTTGTGTTTAAATGGAGCAGAAAGAGAAAGAAGGAGAAGACCAGAGGCTGAACGTGGCAGATGTGAAGCAGTCGGTTATACAAACACACCT